GAAAGTCTTGAGTCTGTAAGAATAGATAAAAGGTAGATCATTTTCGGCAAGGTTTACCATGGTATAAAAATGCGTGGAGAGCGAACAAGAAGCCAGATGCTCATCCATGGAGAGGTAGCCCTCAAGTGGGAGCAGTAGCCACTCAGCTTCCTCAGTTGATTTCTGCTGGTGGCCTGTAAGTTTCTGATTTGATGAGGTCATCTTTGTTTTCTCCCTCAGTTTCTGTACTCCAGTTAATTCTGCTGGGTAGTATTAGCACCCAGTTTGATGATGGTTTTCTATTTGTTGCTTTTTTCAATTGGCTGCTTATTCTTTTACTTTTTTTTGCTCTCTCTCTCTATATATATATATTATATATATACACATATATAGTAACAATTATATATGATAAATAGCATGCACACGTGTGTGTGTGTGTGTGTGTGTGTGTGTGTGTGTGTGTGTTCACCCATTCAGAACACACCCATTCAGAACAAAGCATGCTATGGTAGCTCATTATTTGGACTGCACAGACAGTTGTGGGTGTGGCCTTTGGTTTTTTTGTATGGACTGTGGAAGTCGAAGGGATCAAGTATGACCCTGACTGAGCAGTCCTGCTTTGCTAAAACAGGGAGAGGGAATGCATTCTCAGGCCTTGGGCTGCACAGTGGCTCTGTCTGGAGGCAGAGTGGGGACACATGGGAGGTGATAAAGCACATGCTCAATGGATAGTCTCCAGCTGCTTCACCTGTGGTTCAGGAGATTTTAAGGAGTGTGTACTCATTTGCATTCATGAGGCAGCTGCATGAAGACCCCAAGAGCAGCTCAAATCTCCAAGCTGTTCCTTGTCCTGGATCCAGGTCCCAGTGGACCTCTGCAGCATTTCCTATCATCCTCTTGGAAACCCTGCCCCAGCAGTCACTTGGGAGCTGTCTCTCCACCATTTCATGTGCTGTTAGTGTGGTTGTGATCACATGTCTGAGTCATTTTGCAAACCTGATGTTATGAACCAGGTGTTATGAACAATAAACAAGTTCATGGAAAAGGAAACAGATGAATTGCCTTTCAGAAACTTTATTAAGGGAGTTTTAGGCTCATGGCTATAGGCAGCCATAAGAGGCTGTGAAGTCAGAGAAACAGACACTATGCCCAGCATGAAGGAAGTCCTGCAGGGAAAAAACCTTCAAATCCCTTTAGTTCCGGGATATTTGGAGAATTGCTGGGTCATATGATAGACAGTGTCATTGGGTCCTAAAGGGGTTTGGAAAGCCCTTCGGCACTAGTGAACAGAGAGGGTTGCTTGCTTTTACATAGTTTGTTTGGTTGCAGAGGCACATTCTATACCACAGGACAAAGCTACATGCTAGGCGTCAGGGAGCCACTGGTAGGGATTAGATGCCACTCCAGATTACTTGTGTCTGGGCAGTTGGGAGGGAGGCAGGTCTATTGCCAAAAAGGAAAGAGAGAATTTGATGGCATGTAGAGCAAGGTCACAGCAGTCCCTGGTTGCCTTACCGGGGACTGTAGAGGTTGTGTAGCCTGAGCTAAAGAGTGTGAGCTAACAGGAGAGGCAGAACTTAAGCTACTGTTCAAAGCCTCTGATGCTCTCTGTCCCTGCTTGAAGGCTCACCAGGCCATCTTTCTGTGTCATGAGAATTTCTGTGCTTGCTTGGAGTCCCTAGTTTCTCTCTTTCAATTTCTCATTCTCCTCACAAGCAGCCATTCCCACAGGCTTGCTGTCCCTCATCTCTTTCCATCTGCTGCTAACGTGGCCCCTCCTCCACGATCTGCCAGCTCTCTCTCAGGCAGTGTGCACTGTCCCACAGCCACCCTGCCCCTCACTCATGGCAGTACACAGAACAGAGTACACTCATGGCAGTACACAGTACATTGTGGCCATTGGCAGAGGGTGAGAGCTGGCAGTCCACAGTGGCGTTGGTCCTGGTCTGCAGGAAAACCCTAGGGATCTGCTGTCAATTAGCAACCCTAGTCCCATGGCATGAAAGCATCAAGGGTTGTCAGGAGGAAGGGGCCACCTTAGCAGCAGATGGAGGGATAAGGGGCAGCAAGCCTGTGGGAATGGCTGCTTGTGAGGGGAATGAGAAACTGGAAGTGAGAAACTCAGTGCAGAAATTCTCATGCCACAGACAGGGCCGAAACTCTTGGTGTGACTTTACAGACAGACTCTTTGATGGCTCACTCAGGAAGAACAAGTTGAAGATTCAGCCAGAGACTGAGTGTGGGTAGTCCCTCCCTCCCATGGGAGTCAATGACGGGGATGCAGCTGGGCGGGGGAGGGGGACAGAATGTGTGCCCTATGCACACATGGCCTGGACTTTGATACCCAGCCCTGCAACATGAGAAGGGAGAAGACAGAGAGTTAGGATGCTGGTTTGTGAAGCAAGGGGTTCCTACAGCATAGCACCAACCCCTAGGTGATGTGGCTCTGTTTGAGCCTCTGTGGCAGTGGGTCTATGCTGCCTTCACGGGGACACTCAACTGTGTGTCCTTGACCACATCACAGCCTATGAAGGCTGAAGGACAGGATCCGTGCAGAAGAGCAATGAGTATGTTTCAGTTTTATTTATTTTTGATGTCACATTTTGAGATAGTCTCACTATGCTGCTCAGGCTGGCTTTGAACTACTGGGCTCAGGTGATCCTCCTGCTCGGGCTCACAGGTGGCTGGAACTAAGAAAGCTAGCTGGACATTGGAGTAGTAAGTCAACAGGGGTCCATGCATTCCTTCTTTCTCTGCCATTGACTGTGACCATGGCTTTACTTCATTGACTTCCCCACAACAATGGGCTTGGACCTGGAACTGCAAACTGAAACAGACCTGTGCTTCCCAAAGTTGCTTTTGGTCGGGATGAGTATTTTATCGCAGCAACAGAAATTAAACCAGGGCTCTGTGAAAGCAGGTGCACAGTCTGCACAGGGTTTCTCTGTGTAGCTTTGGAGCCTGTCCTGACACTCACTCTGTAGACCAGGGTGGCTTCAAACTTACAGAGATCTGCCTGCCTCTGTCTCCTGAGTGCTGGAGTTAAAGGTGTGCGACAACAAAGCCTGGGCCCACTTTCTATGTTAATGTTTCTTAAAGCAAACAAAAAGACCCAGAATTATTAAAGCTTGTGAGTAAGTTTGTATTTCAATGTGTGAAACAATGAGAGTAAGCCAAGGGAGTTCCAAACGCTGGGTGGGGAGATGCTTCAGACAGTAAAACATGGGCATTGTAGGCACAAAGACCAGTTCAATGTCCAGAACCTATGTAAGAAAAAAAAAAAAGCTGTGGTGGTTCATGCTGGGAGCAGAGGTGGGCAGGTCCGTGGCTCCCCTGGCCTGCCAGTCTAGCCTACTTACTGAGCTGTGAGGCACCAAGAGACAATCTTAAACAAGGAAAAAGACAATACCTGAGGAATACACCTGAAGTAGTCCTCCACGCTCAAGTACACACACACACACACACACACACACACACACACACACACACACCACAGAAAGGTATTGCTATAGCTCACTAACCATTGAACTTACAAACCATGCATCAGATCGAACATGTCAGTATTTTGACATCCTAATCAGCAACTTTTGGAAGGAGGCTTGTGTTTCTGAATTCCCAATTCATGTTCACCATCTGCTTATGCAATGCATCAAGGACTAGAGTCCCATGGGCTTCTGATGAGGCTGAAGAGACTTCAAAACCTGATTCTACTGCTAACCGTGACTTTGGGTAAAGCTGCCTTAAGAACAGTCTCAGAGCCAGGCGCAGTGGCACAGGCCTGTAATCCTAGCTATTTGTAGAGTGGAGGCAGGAGCATTTCCAAATTCAAGACCTGCATGGACATCTTAATGAGACCCTGTCTCGAAATAAAAGGTGCAGAAGTCTTGGGATACAGCACAGTTGTAGCACACTTGCAGAGCCTCACATGAGACCTTCGGCTCAATCCCAATTTAAACAAACAACAAATCTACTTGGTCTCAGAGGCCACCATGCTTTCCACAGTTCAGGGGCTAACCTGAAGTTTTGGTGACTGGAATCTTCAGCTCCATTTCAAAACTGGAAGAAAAGCAATTTCAGCTACAGACAAGTCATGTTTACCACCCATGGGATGAACGCTAAGCTATGCTAGAAACTGCTGAACCCATAGCCCAGCCTGGAACAGGATCCCTGCTTGCCACCTCAGGCTCCACTCACCTCAGAAGGGAGGGGAACCACAGGAAGCCACTTCCTGAAATGGAAGCAAGCCCAGGCACCTGTGCCTCCCGGGTTGCTGTTCCAGTTTGTGGATGCTTGCCCTTGCCTTCACCCTCCACTGTGTAGCACTTGGTGAGATGATAAAAGGGAACCAGGCACAGGATCTTTGTGACTTGCCATCAGGGATAATAAACATCTTGTTAGCTTCACATGAGTCACAGGAAGGCTTCTGTTTTCTCACTTTTTTTTTTTTTTTTTTTCGAGACAGGGTTTCTCTGTGTAGCTTTGGAGCCTTTCATGGCACTCGCTCTGGAGACCAGGCTGGCCTCGAACTCACAGAGATCCTCCTGCCTCTGCCTCCCGAGTGCCACCAACGCCCGGCTTCTTAGGAAGGCTTCTGTTGCTTTTCCCCAAGCTGTGTCCTTGTTTTGTGCTGTGACTGGGTCTGCGACCCCTTCATGAATGTTCCTGAATATGATTATGTTCATAAATGCTTCCCTCTAATCCAGCATTCTCCACAGCTTGTTTTGTGGAACATCAACCTCAGAAGACAGGGGCCACCAAGGTTTCTTGTCAACGACACAGGGGCGGGTGTGGGGGGGAGAGTTTCGTTATTGGTGCCCACCTGCTGCCCATTGGTTCTGATCCTGCAGGAAGACTTCTTAATTTCCATAGTTATTTGGGCATGGCTTCTCTCTCTCTCTCTCTCTCTCTCTCTCTCTCTCTCTCTCTCTCTCTCACACACACACACACACACACACACACACACACACACACACTAGCAAGTTTCACAAAGGCTTTGGGGCATGTGGCTTCATACCCACATGTTACATGGTGAAGGATGATGCGTTGTCATTGTCCATGATCTCACTGGTCTGCCGGGAAGTGTAGCTTTCCAAGTACATCCGAGCACAGAGGAAGCCTGGCACCTTGTTCTTTCTTCTCGAACACCACACATCCTTCATGATCTTCATGAAGTAGTTTCTAAATTTCTGTCCAATAAATGCGTACAACACGGGGTTGAGGCAGCAGTGCAGGAAAGCCAGGACCTCAGCAACATTCCTGGCGTAGGCGAGGCGTATCTCACCGCGGCAGGTGCGGTTCATGTTGCCTGTGTTCACCGCAGTTATGAGAAGGACCACGTTGTGAGGGATCTGACAAGCCAGGAACACAAGAACCACAGCGATCACAACACGGATGGCTCTGTGCCTTTTAGAATTCTGGGCCTGCACCAATGTCTTGACGATGAACAGGTAGCAGAACACCATGAACAACAGAGGGATGAAGAAGCCAAAAAGCAGCTCTAGCCCTAGCCCCAGCAGTTTCCAGGTGATGGGCTCCGAGACAGACTTGTACCGGGGCTCACAGACCTCTCTGTCCTGGAAACTGTATTTCTTATTGAAGATGAATGTGGGACTTGAGATGAAGACCGATATGACCCACACCACCAAACAGATGATCTTACTGTGTCCCAGTGTTCTGGATCGTACCCGGAAAGATTTGGTTGCCTGGACGATGGCAATGTACCTGTCCATGCTGATACAGGCCAAGAGCAGCATTCCACAGTTAAAGTTGACTGCATAGATGCCTTTCATCAGTTTACACAGTGAGTTGCTGAAAACCCATGTCCCGGTGGCATGAGTCACTGCCCAGAACGGCAGAGTGAGGACAAAAAGTATGTCTGTAATGGCCATGTTCAATAGGTAAACATCAGTCATAGACCTTGCCTTCTTGTAGAAGGCAAAGGTCATCACCACCATAACATTGCCCAGGAGGCCAAAGACACATATTAAGGAGTAGGCAACTGGCACAAATACCCTGGTGAACTCCCTGACCTCTTCCAAGGAGCACGGCAAGTCGTCTGTAGGTACAGAATAGAAGTTGGAGTCCGAGTAATCTTCAGTTGAGAAGTAGGTCTCCGTGGAATTCATTTTCTCCTGGAAAACAATGGAAACAGAATTAGCGATGGCATATTTTCAAGCCACTGCATTGAGTCAAGTTCCCACTCGCTGCCAAAATAGTCTCACTTCATACAGGATAGTCCTTGGTGTAGGCAGGAGACCCAGACCTGGTGTAGAATGTGAAGGGGAGGGGCGTGTTCAGCCATGCACTCACTAGCACGGATGTTAGGAGAGCCCAGGCGAAGCTATCGAGGATAGAAGACAAAATGTGCTTCAGTCATGTTGTGTTCTGGAACATTCTATCCCGTCAGAACATACTGTACTGCATGTTGTTTGCTGTGAAAATACCCATTTTACAGGATTTCCTGGCACTTTCTGAAGAGCCAGAGAGGAAGCACTGTGGGCTCTGCAGGCCTGGAGGCTCTATCTCAGTGTCTCAGACCAGCTTTGGTGGCTTGGAAACCACCATAAAGAACACAGAAACCAGTCATAGACTAATCAAGCGAGATTCCAACCGAACAAACAAATAAAAAAACAAAAACAAAAAAAACCCCCACAGGTTTTAACCTGTACAAAAGTCTTCACTCAAAATCCCAGTTACAAGTAGACATGAAAATCTCACAGAACAAAACCTGTAACTACCTAAATGTGGATAGAAACTCATGATTTGAGGACTGGAGAGATGGTTCTGTGGTTAGGAACACTCACTGCTCTTCTGGAGGACTTGGGTCTGATTCCCAGCACCACCCATGTCAGGGGGCTCATAGTTAGTCGTAAGTCCAGTTCCAGGGTTGCGATGCCCTCCCCTGACCTCTAAAGCCATCTGTATGCATGTGTCAGAAGCTTACTGGGATCAACACCATGAGCAGACACAGTCCACATGGATAAAGCCATAGGATTCTACCCTAGCAAGAAGACTTAGACACTGAAAGCTGGAAGCCCAATGCAGTGGTGCATGCTGCAACCACAGCACTCAGGAGGCTGAGGCAGGAGGATGGTGAGTTCAAAGCCAGTCTGGGATACACAGTAAAACTGTCTTGAAATAAAAACAAATAGTAGGAGAAAATGAAGAGGAGGGAGGAGGTGGAGAGGAGGGAAAGAGATTAAAAAATGGAACCAAAAAAGATTTATGAACAAGATTTATATGCTGAAATTCCTGATAGCTGAGAGAAAAGAAGTAAAAGGTTTCCTGAGGACAGGCACTGACCTACAGCATAGGATTAACATGAGCCTGAGAGTCCAGGAGATAACCTGGCAAGCACAACAGCCCTCAAACAATGTCGTGCAGACAAGGTGTGCAGAAACCCAGGCCAGCTTCTGCTGAAGGGATGTCCAGTGTCAGCCATGGGGGTTCCTCACAGTCAGGGGAATCGGGAATGTGGCCTGCATAGCTCCCAGGCCTGGCCAGAGGGCAGGGGCAGACAATTGTTCAGATGCCCATTATACTCAAGAAACAGTATCTTCATTATGTTTACTGATTAGGATGGTGAAGCAATTCCCAGGGACCCCAGGTTCTTCAGCTGTACCTGTCTTGGGAGAATGCTGTGAGTGTGTTGGGCCTAACATGGTGAAACACCGGAATAATGATGACCTCGGCACTGCTGGCACTGGCAATCAGTGCTCTCAATGAGACAACTGTCACGTTTGCTTGAATGTCAGACACTCTCAGTACCTGGAAATGAATCAGCCTGTCAAACCACCACTGTCACCACAAGAATGGTGCATGTTGCTGCTAGGAAATTGCACCGGTCATAGATTGTCATCTGGGCTACCACAACATGTAGAGTCTTGAACACAATCTGCCTCGTCACCCTAATCTAAGCAGCAGTTACTTATCCGAAGATACACCCTATACACTTTCTGTTAAGAGAATTCGTGTTTGATCATAAAGAAGTAGGTGAATCGGGGAGGGGTTGTTTTATTTTATTTTTTTAGTGATTTGTTTATTTTTATTTTATGTACATTGGTACTCTGCCTGCATGTATGTCTGTGTGAGGGTGTCAGATCCCTTGGAACTGTAATTACAGACAGTTATGAGCTGCCAGGTGGGTGCTGAGAATTGAACCCAGGACCTCTGGAAGAGCAGCCAGTGGTCTTAATGGCTAAGCCATCTCTCCAGCCCTCATTGGTGAATTTTTTTTGGGGGGGGGTGAGACAAGAGTTTCTCTGTGTAGCCCTGCCTGTCCCGGAATTCTCCCTGTAGAGCAGGCTAGCCTCAAACTCACAGAAATCTGCCTACTTCTGCCTCTTGAGTGCTGGGGCTAAAGGCATGCACCGACACACCCAGCATCTGTGGGTGAATTCCTAATTAAACATTTCTGTCTGTCCTTTAAAGGATTTAGAGCAAGGTCAGTCTTCCAAGCTGCTGGGAGTATAGAGCCTACAGCCCGTTTTTCTGTGAATCTACAAACAACAGCAGTCAAGCTACCCGAAGCAAGACATCTGTCTGTTTCGTTTTCAGGCTCACAGCACTCTCTTTCACACATGCCCACTAACTGGGTCTTATTTTGGCTATGGAATAAGTAACATACAAGACCCATGTATGTCAACTGATCCCCAATGCATATTATGGTCGTCTTTGGTGTTTATGTGCCCGCGTCAGTAGATCTCAAACAAGCATATATAGAAATATTCTAAAGAACAAATTGATATTAAGAAAATCTATGAGGGCTGGAGAGATGGCTCAGTGGTTAAGAACACTGGCTGCTCTTCCAGAGGTCCTGAATTCAATTCCCAGCAACCACACGCTGGCTCACAACCATCTGTAATGAGATCTGGTGCCCTCTTCTGGTCTTTAGGCATACATGCAGCAAGAACACTGTATACATAATAAATACTTTTTTTTTTTTTTTTGAGAGAATCTATGAAAAACTACCCCAAATTATCCTTTGAGGAGAAACTTTAGGGTCCTGTGAGGAGATGTATATGAAGACACTGCCTTGAGTAAAATGTTACTCTTCCTGCCACCCTCTGTCTGCCTTTTGCTGGACTTTCCCCCCTTCCAGGCTGCTGGGGTCTCATGTGGGGCACAGTATGGCCCTACAGTGTGTGCCAGTACAACGTAAAAGTGTTTAGCACCCGAAGGTTCTTGCTCACCACCAAGTGGATTTCATCACATCTTCAGAACATGAGAGGAAGCAGTTTCTCGGTTCCTGTTTCTACCTGTCCACTCTAAACATTCCACAGCTACCCAGAAAATGTCGTTGTGAGGCTGCCTACTCCATGAGGAACTGTGTAAATGCCAAAGATAGAGACGGGATCCCCAGGGTAAGCTGGCTAGTGAGACTAAGCATACTCTAGGTATGATTGGGAGACCCTGCCTTACAGAGTAAGATGGAAGAGCGGCTGATGAAGATTCATGACACCAACCTGGGGCCTGCACACACATGTGCACACACACGTGAACACACACATGTACATGTTCCACACACAGACACATAAAAAAGATCAGGGTAAAAGCGTCACAATTTATCAGTAGATTCAGAAAAAAGTGAATGTCTCTACTGAAGTATGGAGTCAGTAAGCATTCCAGGACATCATGAACAACCAGGTGGTGGTGACACAAGCCTTTAGTCCCAGCACTCGGGAGGCAGAGTCAGGAGGATCTCTGTGAGTTCGATGCCAGCCTGTCTACAGAGTGAGTTCCAGGACAGCCAGGGATGTTACGCAGAGAAACCCTGTCTCTAAACCTTCATTAAGTCCACCACACACACACACACACACACACACACACACACACACACACAGAATATCATGAAGGTATCTCAGGCACTTCATATAGAATTGATGAGTGAGTTACCACATGTTTGCTGACATATAGCCATCACCTGATCCAGAACCTTTTGTAGTCATGATCACCAGACAACAGTAAGGGAAGTGTGACAGACATTGCAAATTTGTGATTAAATCTGAAAATTGAAAGCAATCACGAGAAGGAACTATAGTCTGGGTGCCAGGACAGAGAGATGGGTAGGCCACCAGTTGGGCATTGGGTGGGCTGTTAGGAGTTTGGACTGGCACTCTGGGTGTGGTGACAATCCCTGTGGAACCTGTTCCCAGGCACACTGGGACAGACCTTGACTGACATAGTGCCCATCAAAATCTTCAGCTGAAAAGGTTTCTCACTGTTCACATGAAGTATAGGGACAAAAGAAAGTAGGCAAGACATTGAGTTTGAAAATGTCAAGAATCTAAAAGTTAATTAAGTGGATGACTCCCAGCCCTCTGCAAGATCAGTAAGTGCTATTAAAAGCTGAGCCATCTCTCTGGCCCTGCCCCCACAATTGCATTTAAATAGTCAACAACTCAGATGAGGAAAAAAAGAGAAAAACTCAAGTTCTGAAAGAGCATAACTAGCATTTATTTGATAGGAAGTTCACCGAGCCTGCTGAGCCGCTCACACCAGGCACAGCTGTCTAACTCCTGTCAGCTGTCTCCCTCCACTTCAGTCACTCAGACTTCAGACCTAAAAACAGCTGTTAAGAGCCAGCGGTCTGACATACCAACAGCATTGTGCTCACCACTCCAAGGATGTCTAGTTAATTTCTGGACCCTGTGAGCATGTCAGTTCACCTGGCAAAAGGGACTGTGCAGACATGATTGAGTTTGGACACGGGACAGATAGAATCGAAAATCCTTGACCCTCCAGACTCCCTTGCCTGAGGCAGGAGAAGAGATGGAGGCCTGTGAGGAAAGCATCTATTGCTGTTCATGTTGAAGGCAATTGAGGAGCTACAAATCAAGTGAGTTTTCTGAAGAGGCTGGCAGGAGCCCTCTCTGACAGCTGTTGTGAAAATAGGAATGTGGGTCCTGCCACAGGAACTGAGGTCTGCCCACAACTGGATGGTCAGGAACACATCCTTCTTTAGGGTCCCAGAAGAGAATGAGGCACTGTACCCACTGGCCCTGTAGCTGAGGTCCGTGTCAGGTCTCTGGATGCAGAACCGAAAGCCAGGAACCTCAGCTGCATAACTGCCAACGTGGCAACGACAATAGGACACTCATACAAAGCTCAGCAAAGTGAACATTTGTTTAACTTT